CTGCTTTTTGGCTTCCAATTTCATTCATTCTGACCAGGACAGACAAAGCCTACTCTTCGTGATCTCATCCTTTGAAGTTGACCGAGATTTGCTCTGTGACTGATCCACAAACCCCCAGTGAAAGCTTCCACATATCCTCTGTACTTCAAGGTTGCCATGCAACCTATTGGGTCAAGCTGCTCGTACTGTTTAAATTCTCCAGTCTTTATTGATTTTGTTGTGTGTTTGCTGTCAGCCACCAGGAGGACAGTGTTAAAGATGCTTGCCTGTGATTGGAAATTTCTCTTTTGCCCCCTTTACCTCTGCGGGCCTTGCTTCATTCTCATGTTCTGAAGCTCTGCACACCTGCGTGTCTCCCAGGCCAAACAACGCAGCCCAGAGCTCACTTTCTCTCAGTCAAGGTGGATCACAGGGCAGATTCCGGTAAGATACTAAGGGTGGAAAGGAAGCAGTAACCCTTCTGAAGCCAAGCTGCTCCTTCCTCTTCTGCCCCAGGGTTGGTATCTTTTGTGTCAGCAGAAGTCAAATACAGCAGGGGTTTGACCATGTTCACTTCCAGCTTTAGAAACTTTCAGAGGGAGCTCAAGCCTCTCTTCCCCAGGAGACCTTGGAGACCCAACAGCACACACTGCAGATGGGATCCCTGGGCCTGGCACAGAGCACAGTGCATGAAAGTGCTCAGCAAACAGGAAGACAGTCTATGCAGGGTGCAACTTGGCACATGGGTGCTGGAGTGAGGATCCCTGCAGTCGAGTCACACGTCCAGGGACCTCATTTATCTTCTGTGCCTCAGTTTCTTCACCTGGACAATGCAGTCATAACAGCACCTACTTCATATGGTTATTGATGATTTTAAATGCTCTACATTTCTCAAAAGTGTCAGCTCTGGATCTTTCTGATAACTACAACTCTTTTCTTTGTCCATGCAAGAAAGTGCTCTGGAGTAAGAAGGACCCTTGACTTACAACCTCAATTCATTTCCAAGGGCCGGTTGTAAGTCAAGTTGATCAACTGAAGGCTCAGGCTCTTCTATACAGCCTTCAAAGTCCCCTTTCTGTGTACAGGAAGATCTCAGTGTCCTTAGAGAGACACTGGCCCAGGATTTCTCAGTTAACCCCACACAGGAAAGAATGCTGTCATGTTCCTTCCAGAGCTCTTCAAGGGCTAAATCTGTATCTGAGACCATCTGGAAGCATGAGCAGCCAGTATTTGGGTTGTAAATCAAGACTTTGTTCGTAAGTTAAAAACTAAAATTCTGGTTGTAACCCAAGTTGTTCATGTCAGGCCAGTTGTACATTGAGGGTGCACTGTGAGGATAAAAGTGTCAGAGATGTCCCATCACAGCCAGAATTAAAGGTTCTAGCTGCCTCTCTCGGCTGGGCGAATACCTCTGGAGATACTGCTGCTGCTAATCAGGAGCACCCCACTTGCCCTACCCTAACTAGCTGATTTCTGCCACTTCCTTGGCCCCTGTAAATGTTGGGAGGATACGGTGGTGACTGCAAGGCATCCCCTACCTACTCTGTGCAAAGCAAAGTTCTCTTCCCTCCTGCGCCACACTTCAGCCATTCCCATAGTCCAGAGGTTACGAGACACTGCAGGTGAGAAGGTGCCAACCTATTGAAAACAGTCCCAGCTCCTGCTGGGATGACTTTGCCTCCCAGTTTTCCAACCCACTGAACTCAGGACAGTTCATCCATTAATTGCTGGGAAGAGTCCCCGGAGATGCTGTTTCAATAGAACCTGCAGCAAGATTGTCAAAAGGAGGGAGCTGGCCAGCCACAGGGAGGGTGCCCAGGCTGAGCGCTGGGAGCACAGCCACACTGGCTGGGACTCTGCTCCAGGCAAGCCTTCAAGGGCAGTGTCAACACCCAGAGTGGCTAAGAAGCGGAGCTGAGCTCTGGGAGGTAATGGAGCTGTCCTTGATCTGGAGGTGAAAGCCCCAGGACGCACACCTCTGCCACCTCTGCTCCAGTTCTGGATTTCATTCTCTTCATAGAGGTCTGGGTTGGGAAGGCCACTGACTTCCTCTCACTGGGCTCTGACCTCCAGAGGCTAGGTGCAGACCGTTTCAGAAGGGGCTGGCGGATGGGACAAGCAGAATTGTCCAGTATTGCAGCAGGGTGTGGTGGCACACGCCTGTAATCCCAGCACTCAGGAGGCTGAGGCAGGAGGATTGCTGTGGGTTTGAGACCAGCCTGGGCTACAGAGTGAATTCTAGGTCAGTCTCAGCTACATAGTGAGACCCTGTCTCAAAAAAAAAGTGCCCAGTATTGCCTTGTGGGCATCCATTGTTTGTATATAGACTACTCCAGCCATTCCATCATCCCATGTTTGCACAACACACCCTGAGCACTGTTAATCACCAGCTGGTAGTGCTGCCCCATCACCCCTAGGAGAGGATGGCCAAGAGGCCACTTTCCCTGGATGGGAAAATCAAGCCCTATGTAGACCGTGGAGGGAAGGCTTTGCTGCCAGCTGTCTAGCACAATCAGATCCCTGATGCTTGATATCAGGACATGAGAGAACCCTTGCTCTACACAGATCCATGTCATCCATGTGCCCCCACCCTTTCATGCCAGATGATCCTGGAGACTGAAAACAGAGTGGAGGGGTGTCTTAGGGGAGACGGAAGGCTGCTTAGCCATCCCTGTATCAAAGGACCCATGCATTTCCCTAGCAGCAGGCTACAGAATGGCCTAGAGCAGCAGCAGAAGGGATTTAAATTAGATGCACAGAAGTACTTCCCATTCGGAAGGTTCTAATTTTCTCAGGACACCATGATCTGCCCATCCTTTAGTGTGCTGTTCCATTTGCACTATGTTTATATATCTTTATGCTCAAGTTTTATTTTCTTGCAAAACTGAGGGAACCTGGCCTGGTAATTGATGACCCTTGGTGTCCACACACGCTTCTGGTGTCCTGTGCTGACCAGGTGTCCCCTGAGAGGCTGGATTAGCAGCCATATCAACATACTTTTGCAAAGCAGATAGCATGCCAAGCACTGGGTCCCAGGCTGGAACTCCAAAACTTGAAGAAATTCAGAGATTAAAATAGCCCAGGAAAACATATTCAGGGGCAGGATTCAGAGGGAGGCTTATGAGGTGCATGTCATAGTTGGTTCTTTCCAATGGGGGATTTCAGGAGCCCTTAGGGGAGATGTTTGGGGTCCCAAATCTCTCTTCCAGGAATCTGCCTGGAAGTGGGTTCCTTGAGCAACAAGCCATTTAGAACTTCTCCCATGGACATGTCCTTGAAGTAGGAATAGGGTCGTGAGGATAGAAAGCTTTTGAAAGAATGCCTTCTCCCTCCCAGAGCCTCACACAGGCCTAGGGTAGGTCCTCATGCACCCCCATCCTCACCTCAAGAGGTTGCAGAATGAAGCAAGGTGCACATGATATCAGCTACCCTCCTGGGAGAGGGCCTTGTAACTGAGCTCTGTCCCCTGCCCCAGGCCCTGCAGGTCCCAGCGAGTGCTTAGATACGGAGGGTGGTGCCCAAGGTAGGCTCACCAAAGTTTGAGCTTTCCTGGAGCAGATGAGGCTGAACTCTATTCCAGAAGCAACTGAGGGCTCCTCCACCCTCTACCTCCAAATGGGGCTATAGAAACAAATGATTCCATGAGGCTGGGCTAGGAAGGGAGGAAGGAAGGTTATTTTCAAGGCTCTGTTGCATGGTGCTTAGGAATAAAGTCCTTGGGGCCAAAATGTGAATTTAAAGTTTTAGTTCTGTGCTCACTAGCTAAGCTCTGTGCAAAGAAATATCACAAATAATGAGGAGTCATCTGAGTGTTGAGAACCCAAACTCTCTGTAAAATGGGACAAACAATAATGCTAACTTGAAGTGCTAACATGAAGAACAAATGAGTCAATAGTACATAATGTTTGCAACAACAGCCAGCATTCGGTATGTACTCTACTTAACAAATGAAGGCTACTGTTATCAAAATACCCTGCCAGGAATGCAGTGCCACACTGGAAGCAGGCAAAGCTTACTGCGGTGTCTAAATGGAAGAGAGCATGGAGACTTGTCTTGAAAATGCTGTTACACAGCAAGCAAATGTTTTCCTTTTTCAATGTTTTCTTCATATAGTAAGGGGATCACAGAAATATTTTCTCTATAGGTGAATAGGATTAAATGACATGATACATATAATGCGCTCCTGGCACTTGGTGAATAGTAAGTGTTAGTTGTTTGGGTGGCTTGGGAGCATGATGGAGAGGATAATGGGGTGCAGGGTGTGGGTGCCATATGTCCCCTCTAGCTGAGCAGCCTCTCGTCAGGAGGCTCCGTTCCGTTCCATGCCTAGCATACATGTTCCAGGCATTTAGACCTAAGAACTTCTGGAGACTTAACCAGGGTGTCAGCCTGGGGCCAGGTTAAGGGATCGATCCTCCTGCTTCTCTGATCCTGGAGGTTCTCACTGGCCTATGGAGAGACATCATGACCTCCAAGAGGGTCCTTTCAGCCCCAGAACTCGGGGTGCAAGCACTTGAGACCTGTGCAAGGGCCAGCACCATTCAGTCCTCACTGGATATCCTTGGCTTGTTGCTGGGGACAGACATGGGACTGTAAGGTAAAACAAGTAATACCCACATGCCTGTGCTCCCCTTCCGGGGGCAGAACACATGGATACACACTTGACCTGCTCAGCCCTCACCCTGCCAGAAGGGCACACAGGACAGAGGGGGCCAGAAGCCCAGGACACTGGGAGAATCCACTTTACCATGGGACAGTGTGCCATACATCTGAATATACAATGTTGAATATACTCTGTTGCCTCTGTTTTGTTCAGTACTAGGGATTGAACCCAGGTCCTTCGTACTGAGCTGCATCCCTAGTCTTTTTTAATTTTTCTTTTGAGACAAGGTTTCACCAAGTTGTCCAGGCTGGAACTTTCGATCCTCCTGCTTTAGCCTGCCAGAGTGTGAGGATTACAGACATGCACCACCACACCCAGCTTCTGTGTGCGCCATTTGTCCCACCCACTGGTGTTTTACCTCATGGATCCCAAAGTGAGCGTAGGAGTCAAAGTAATAATCTCTCGACGTCATCTCCTCTGGGTTCAGCAGCTTGGACATCTTGCCCCGGCCGGGGCAGCTGGGTTGAGTAGACACATGATGGACACATTGCACAGGCTTGGGTGGGACGACAGGCTGAGGGGTCTGGGAGGGGGCGCTGCTCACCTGCAGGGGGCAAAAGGGCCTGGGATCAGCAGAGCAGGAGGCCCCAGCCTCCAGGGTCTCTCTCCCCTCCCTCTCACCACCCCCCAACCCAGCCAGCCACAGCAGCAGCCCTCCGAGGGGTCAGCGACTTTGCCCAACTTCCTGGCAGTCAGACTGATGGCTAAGAATGGCAGGGAGGTGCCCTGCTGCTGATGAGCCAACCAGACCAGACTGAGCCTAGGGGCTCTTAGGAGCTGGGTGACCCCCGCTGATCTAGGCCTCAGTTTCCATAGCTGTTAAATGGGGGAAGACAGCATTTTCCTGTAGAGAGAAATGGAAAACCCTCAACAAAAAGATGTGCAGCACAAGCAGTGGCTAAGAGTGCAGACTCCAGAAGGGCTCTTCTGGGCCTTGAGGCTGCTGTGGTCTTGGGTGTGGTTCTTCCCTTGAGGGCTCGCATGTGGGAGACAGCAGGATATTAGGGGGCAAGCCCACTCTCGACACTCTTTAATACTTCCTAGCCCAGCTCCCTGCTGCTTCTGCCCATCACTGTCTGGGGCCCACATCCTGCAGGCTGAGCGGAGAGAGAAGACACAGCTGGGGAGCTCCTCGAGGTTGGAGGGAAGCTCAGACAAGACTGCAGAGCACTTCCTCTCCCTGGCCTCCAAGAGACCCAGTAGGCAAGGCTCAACACCAACCCCATGCAGTTCAGAGGCAGTGCACTTGCCTGGCAAGCAAAAGTCCCTGAGTTAGATCCCATCAAGAGAGGGAGAGGGAATGGGACGGGGGAGAGAGACAGAGACAGAGAGACTGAGAGACAGAGACAGGCAGAGAGAAACAGAGAGAGAGAGAGAGAAAGCCAGGCTTATTCAGGAGCTGAGAATCAGGGCTCCAGGATCCTACCCTGGCTCTTATAAAGTTAAAAGCAGATATTGAGAGTGGATAACAGTGACCACTGAGGGCTCAAATGCCAGGACCTGTGGCCTGGCTCTGAGACACAGCTCCACTGCTCACCAGCTATGTGACTTGGGGAAGTCACTTGTCACCACCATGCCTCATTTTCCTCCTCTGTAAATTAGCATAATAAAAGCTGCCTGGGAGAATCGTCAAGAGATTTGGATGAACTTATCAGCGTAGAAACTTTAGAACTCTGCCTGGCACATAGTAAGCGTTTCATTGGACTTGCTATTATTATTACTATTGTTCTAATCACACAAACCACACCCCTGCTCTGTATCTCAATTTTCTTACCCGTGAGCTGGGTCAGGTCAGACTTACTACAAAGACAATGGGACCCTAGGACAGAGCAGATAGAGAAATCCAATGGTTCCAACCCTTCCTGCATGCCAGGGCACAGCCCCCAAGGGCCCAGTGTTTCGGGGAGGGGCAAGTGGGGTGTGATGGTCCCGCCTCCCTGGTGTATGTAGGTTACCACCTCTGGGAAATGAGCAGACTTCCTACTTCTGCAGATCAGACTTCAGGTTGGCAAGCACTGGGCTGGCTGGCAGAGGCGAGCAGGGCTGCCTCATTAGAATGCAGCAGGTGTGCCCACCTCGGCTCTGGGATGCTGGTCACGGTCTCTGAGAGGCTAAAAATAGACTGTGTCAATTGCACACTCCCGTGCGGGCTGCAGAGTCACCTCTAGCGCTGAAGAAGGCTCTGTGTATGCAGCTGACCCCAATACTGACTATTAAATACATTAGGAGGGAAAATCTCTGAGCTGGTCCAGGCACTGTGCGTGGTCAGTCACAGGGCCACAGCACCCCGAGCTATCATTCAACTCTGACTCCTACGTCCCCTTCCCATGAGGCTCCTGGGTCACTTTGCCCTGTAGCCAATTTACAAAGTGTCTACTATGTGCCACCCTTGGTAGAAGACTAAAAGATGAATGGATTTGGAGTGGGGGCACTGACTTCAGGAGCCACAGGTCATGGACAAAGAGGTGACTGTGGGCCAGTCCTTTCTGGCCAACGCTGCTGGCCTCCATCAGCCTCTGGCAGAGCGAATCGTATTCTACCCATGGGCTGAAGAGGAAGTCGCATCCTCTTCCAAAAGGCTGCAAGGAGGTGAAAAATAGCAGCGGCCTCTGATCCAGGGCATTCAGCCACCTGAGGCACTGCTTTCAATTCCACCAGCACCTACGGAGCACCTGCCAGAGCAGGGGCAGTGGGAAGAGACATGTGGGAGCCACGCCCTCTGAGGGCTGCTTTCTAGACCCTAACCCTAAGGGCTCCACTGGAAGCTGGAATAAGGTGTGTTCTACAAGAGAAGTTCAAGAGACTTGTCAGGGGATAGGAAAGAGAAATTTACTTCAGCTTGGAGTCAGGAAGTCCTGGGATAACTGGCAGCAGGGTAAGGTGGGGAGACTGTAGAATGGCTTTTGGAATCGGGAGATGCTGGGACGGAATTCGAAGAGGAAGAGCTGATTTCAGCAAAAAGGTGAGAAGCAGTGGGAAAGTGTTAGCTTGCTGGGGAGCAGCATGGCTGTGGTGGTGGAGGATGGAGGATCGGGTTGAAAGGAAGCTGTGGTCAGGCTAAGAGGTGGTGATTAAATGCCCACCCAGTAGGGAGCTGTCGGCATCTGTAACCAGGGAGTTCTGTGCCTGAGCGCTGCCCTTGGAAGATGAACACTGCAGCTTTGTGCAGGTGAGGGCAAGGAAGGAGAGCAGAGGTGCTGGGGTTAGGGAGGCCAGGAGTGGTCTGAGGAGGCTATTTTCAAAGTCCAGTCAAAAAATAATGAGAATGAGAGCTACTGGGGTATTGGAAGGGCTGCCTGCCAGAGAAGTGCAGGAATAGAATTTATAGGAGTTGGCAGCTGACAGAATATGGGGGAAGAGAGAAGCTGGAATCAAAGATGACTTCCACATTTCAAGCCTGGGTGAGTAGGAATATAGTGGTGACATTAACAGAAATAAGCAAGTCAGCAGGAAGAGCAGGTTGGGGTGGGGGAAATAATGAATTCAATTTGGACATGTGGAGTTTGAAATGTCATTGAGTCTTATAAGAAAAGGTGTCTAGCAAGCAAATATTAAAGCAGTTCCAGTCAATAAATACCATAAAAAAATAGAAAGGCAAATGACAAATGGAGAAGTATCTCCTGACACACACAGCAGACAAAAGTTAATGTCTGTCACAGGGAGGGAGCCTTTACAAATCAAGAAGAAAGAGACGAGCCCTCACTTAATGTGGACCAAGAGTAAATGCAAAAGGAAAATTAGCATGCAATGAAAACGCTTAACCCCACTAGAAGCCAGGTAAATTCAAAATAAAAAACTTATTTCCTCCTCCCAAACTACAGTACAAACCTCTGTATTTGTAAGGTTTTCAGAAAAACAGGTGCTTGTATAAGCTTCCTGTGGAAATGTAAATAGGTCAAAAGTTTTTGAAGGGAGCCTGATAAGATGCCTTAAAAGTGTTAAAAGCACAAATGATTTAACCCATGATTGTGATTTTTAATTTATCACGGGAGAGAACTGTAGACATCGTAAATAAGTAGTGCAAGCGTCCATGATGGTGCTGCTCATCACCGGAAAAGCGAGAGTCAGCTTCGGTGTTCCAGAAACCAAAATGATCCAAACAGCGGTGACCCATCCGTACCGAAGAATGCTACGCAGCCATCAAAGAGACTATGCAAAGAGCCTTCAATAACACAAACATACAAGTGCAGTGAAGTGTTGGCTGAAGGGCACAAGCAGGTCAAAAATGCACAGTGTGACTGTGCTGTGAAAATGAGGGCCTGTCCGTGCACCACTGCAGCAGGCATTCAGTGGGCGCAGAGGAATGCCCGGTGGCCAGAGGCCAGTGACCCCATGCATCCCTGAAGACTGCACACAAGGAGACCAGGAAGGCACCAGAATTGGCAGTGACTGCCATAGGACATGGGGTCATCAAGAGTTAATTCTTCCCTGTTTGTGTTGGTTTGGATTTTCTACAATATATGCCACTAACACACACCATTTTTGTTAATAGCGAAAAATAATAATATTGAAAAGCAAAGGAAACGTAGCCCCAGACCTCTGGAGAGAAATGGAGGCTGGTGCTCTGATTGGAAGCCACATGCAGGGACAAGGGATGGATGGCAAGGGCTCCCGAGTAACAGGCCCAGGGTGGCCGCGGCTGCCAAAGCCCGAGCATCCCTTCCTGGACACTTCGCCCCTGCTCCCAGCCCTGCAGGATAGGACTGGGTGCTGCCATCCCGCAGCCCTGGCCACACCTGCCTTCTGTACATCACCTCCACCCTGGCCCTACCCAGGTGCCGGTGGCCCAGCTCAGGGGAAGGGCCCTGCCTCACTTTCCTCTCCCCTCCTCCCATGAGGGCTCAGATGCAAGCCTCCTCTTGCAGTCTGTGTCCTGGTCTGTGGAGAGTCACTGCCCGTTGTCAGGATTTTTTGACTTTGTGTTCTACTCTCAGTGCTGCCTACTACCGGGACTCTTCAAACAGGACCCATCCTCGGGCTGGCCTTTCTGAGGCCTCTTCAGCACAGTTTCCTCCTAGTCTTCCCATCCCATTGGGGCACAGGCCCAGGCCCCACTGGACACCGAGGCCAGAGAAAGGCACAGAGACCAGGAGGAAGGGGTTGGGGGTGGAGGCATTGAGTTGGTCCTCATGGGACAGACAGGGTTTCGCCAGGCAGGGTGGGGGATCCGGAAGAGCATCTGGACACCACCCACCTCCTCCTGAAAGGGATGAGGATGAGGAGGCCCCACACCAGATGAGACCCCAGTGCTATCGGCTATAAACATCTCGTGAAATCTTCATACTAGCTCTACAAGGTGCTGAAAATTCCAGCTGAGAAAACTAAAGCTTAAAAACACTTTAGTCATTTGCCAGAGCCCAGAGCTAGCAAGTAACAGAGCCAGGATGTAAACCAATATCTGTTTGACGACAAAGCCTGCGCTCTTAGCACTGATGCTACAGACAACTCAGTTCTGACCAACCAGGCTTAAGTAAGCCTCTGCCAGGAGCCAGGCTATGCTCAGAAACAGTAGCAAGGTGGGCCTGGGCCCAGGGCAGGGAGAGGCTGTGGTCAGGACTGACCAGAAGAAACTGCTCCAGCGGAGACAGGCACAGGCAGGCAGGCAGGCAGGCCCAAGGAGGCTGAGCATAAGAGGGGGCAGACATAGGCCCCAGGCCACGATGGAGAATCTGAGACCACACAAGGAAAGGGTCACAGGAGGGAGCTGGAGGTGGAGCTGGAGCTGCAAGCTTCTGAGGCAGCAGAAGAGGTGTCCTGGGGGAGGGGAGAAAGAGACTTCGAGGAAGAACAGCGAAGGGGTGGTGGGCACAGGAAGCGGGGGCTGCAGAGGGTAGGGAGGAGCTGGCTTTCTACACCAAGCAGCTGGCGCGAACCCAAGCCCTTTGGATATAAATGGCTCCAACTGGCACCAGCCCAAGCCTTAAAACATTTTCCCGAGAACAAGAGGCTCCACCAGAGGAGCCAAATCCTGCTCTGTTCTCTAAATGTCAAGAGAGTTTTTCCTAACCTGAATTGCTGCTGTCTGGCTCAGAGAACCTGCAGGGGGAAAAAAGGGCTTCCATGGGTGGGACTCAGGGACTGCTCTGCCAGGACCGTCCCTTGTCTCCCCAGCTGCCTTGACCTCCCCACCTCACGCACCCTCATACCAAGCCCAACACCAGCGCCCCTGGCACCACCCACCTCGTTGCTCCGAGTTCACTGCTGAGGCAGTGCAAGCTGCGACCCTGCATGGATGGCTGCATGCAGAGCTGGCTCCTCTGGCACCGTCTTCAGATGGGACAGTTTTCCAGTGGGGACCATTCCAGCTGGGGAAGGTCAGGGGGCTCTGCTGGGCATCAGCCTCTCCTGTGGCTTCCATCACACCTCCCAGATGGGGCTTGTTCACCCACCCTGGCCACAGATGGCCAAGTCCCACCCTCCTCTCTGGCACCGTGTCTCCTGTCACCTTAGAGGGGGACAGTCCCCACAAAGCCAGTGTGAAGTGCCCCCCCCACGAAGGATGCAGCCCTAGCTCATGGCCACTTACTGTGGGGCCCAGAACCCCAGAGTCTTGGGCAAGGCACTGAGGTGTCCAGACGCTACAGGTTTTATAAGTCACTGTCTTGCAATGGGTGTCCAGAGCCCTCCACTTGCTTCCATGTCATCACCCACTGCCATCCTCATGGCCCTACTGAGGCAGGCTTCTCAGCCACAGAAGCTCTCTAGACCCTGCTCCGTCCCCAAGCGGAGGGGCCACAGCCTGATGCTATCATCCCCTGGCCTCCCTGGCAGAGAAATTCTTGCAGTCCTGTGGCCTTGGAGCCCAAGCCCCTCGAGGCTGCACTTCCCAGAAGGCCCCTCTCTTGGTCCTGCCACCTGGCAAACTCACACCCACCCTCCCTGCGCACGGTGCTGCCAGGGAAGGCTCAAAGGGTCTGGTCCTCCAAGTGTGCTGCCCGGACTGGGCTGACAGCCTCAGCATTCTAGGGCAGGCAGAGCTGGCCACCTATCCTCAGCCAGCCTCCCAGGGCAAGAGCCCGCGTCCTGCTGCCGCCACAGACTGGGCGTCTGGAGCAGCGTGCTGGGCAGTTAGCTGGGGGCGCTTCTCTGTAACAGTCTTCAGCCTTCAGTTTGCCTAAATGACTTGTGACTCTCCAGGAAGGAACGGGAATGTCTGAGCCCCTAAATGGATGGTGTGGCACTCTTCCTTCCGGGCGATCCAACAACATGTCTAGAGACAAAATGTTCTGAAAGAAGCCGTCTGGATGCTGACTTGGAGCAGAGTTTTGGTATCTGATCTGTGTCAACCACCATGGGGCAGACTCAGGCCCTCCCAGATCCAGGGGCCAGGCCCTGTGGGGTGAAAACCAAAATCTGCACACAGCAAGCTCACAGTTGAAGCCCACAGACACTGGTCCTGTGGCCACCTGCCCTCTCCATCCCCTCTGACATCAACAGGACACATGCAGCCACAGCTCTGTGGAGTCAGCTAGGCATCTCCACCACAGAAAAGAGGAGCAGGGACTGGCGGGCTCCACCGCCTTCAGGTTTGGCGACCTTGGCTACCCCTGACATTGTTCATTACTGGGGTTCTGGAGGCTGGACTCAGGGCTCCTGGTGCACAGCGGTGCATGGTGTCCTGGTGCCTGCCTCCGGCTGTGTGTGGTGCAGCAGCAGAGCCTGCCTCAGACCAAAATGGCACTTTCCTCTCCCCATAGCACTCCCTCTTCTCCTCCACAGGAACTGCTGGGAAAGTCTCTTGGATTTTCTCGGTCTGACCTATTTTTTAAATAAACTGGGGCTGTTTTCCACTATTAGTCACTTTTCTCCCAAACCTCCACATATTAAATTCCCTTCTTATATCCTCAGATATTTGGGCTGCAAGAGATGTCAGGTTAATTGGATGCTTGGCTCCTGGCTCTTCCTCTTTAATGGGCTTCAAAACAGACTTCCCCGGGCACCCCTCCTTTTCCTCCCTCTTCCCCCTCAAGAGAACAGGGTCCTCTTTTTTTCTTCAACTGGAAGGAGCTTGGCTCCTACCTTGCTCCCCCTCACGGGCCAATGTACAGAAAGACAGTTTCTGCTGATACCCTTACCTGGCCGGGTGAGGCCATGTGTGAGCTCCAGAGCAGGGTCCCCTCATCCCGTGGGGTCAGTCCCAGGTCTGGGGACAGCAGCAGAGAGGTTGCTCCTGCTCCCCTCCCCGCTGCACATGCAGAGCCCCTGTGGCTTTGCTCTTGGGTCTCTTCTCTCCTGTTCACATCAATATGCAAGAGCTTCGGACCCAGGCTCAGCTTCCCTTTCTGTCCAACGCCAATGGTCGTGTGTCCTCCTCTGGCACAGGGCTGCTGTGGAACACTGAGATCTAGCTCTGAAGTGCAAAGTGGGAGCATGCAGGGTTAACTGTCCCCATGTGGCTCCACACAGTGATGCCCTTTGGGCTCTTCAGTGGCACCAGACACCAGGCCTTGGCTGCCCTTAGCTCCGTTCTGAGGCCTGATCCTGGCTCGACCCTCTCCATGCTTCCACTCCACCCTGAAGCTTTGTCCTCTTCTTCCCAGCTCTCTGAGTAGGAACGGCCACCTCTGATTTCTTTCGGAAGAGCCATCATTGGCAATCGGTCGTGTTCTCCGGCCCCTTCACCCAGGTCACCTGCCCTTCTTCTGACCCCCGTAGCACCTGTAGGTATAAAGCTGTTCGTTACCGTGTTCAGTTTTGTGGGTAAAAGACTCCAGGCAATTGTATGGTTCATGCGGGCAGCAAGAGTGAATTCCTTCTGACTTGTAAGGATATCTTAAATGTCTGTTTCTCCTCAATACATGGCACCAAGCCAGGAACTCAGTAAAGATGTGTTGATTACAGTATCCTTACCCTTCGCCTGGCTCCTCACTGCCCTTCATAAATATATTATGAAAGAAGAGTGAAGAAGGCGCCTTCCCATAGTGCAGTCAGAACTTCCAGTGAGAGGGTAAAGAAGTGGCAGGGAGAAGGTGAAGCTGAGGGAATAATCATCAGAATCCCAGGAACTCTCAGGCACCCTTTGGAGGCTTTGGCAGTACTCCAAATGCCCTTACCAAGAAGCATCTTCTCCTTGCGATTTCCAGAAGAAAATGTCTTGCAAATACAGGCTGTGTGCGAAGACTCCTAATTCAGCCACGTGGACCACAAGCAGCTTCTGCAGACTCAAGTGTGTGCGATGGACGTTCTCCCGAGAGGGAGGCCTTGCTGCAGCACAGAAACCATGGCTCAGAGCAGCTGCCTGACTGGTCCAGGTACCCTGCAGCACAGCCTGCAAGGACCAGGAGCTGAGTCCTCTGTCCCCACAGAATTGGGTATTTACACTGATGGCCGAAGGGGAAGAAAGCAGCTACCAACCATGCTACAAGACAGAAAGAAAATCATGAGCGGTTGGCCAAGATTATAGCCTCACCAACTCATTCTAGATTCCCATGAAGCTTCTGTGGATTCCCCCAATGCATTCACCTAATTCTAGCAAAACGCATTACTTCAAATAAATATGTTTATACCCAGGTTCATAGGAGAATTGACTCTTTTAATCAGAGATTCTGATGCAAATATTCACTGAAAAAATGTTGCATTCCAGCTAAAAAAAAATAATGTCAGCCACTGGGTAATATCCAGGTCTATTCCAAATTAACCAATACAGATTCCAGGATTCTGACTGGCTTAAAGTACTCCGAAGCAGTTCCAATAGTTGTTAAAAAGCCATAAAAAAAACATAAGAAATAGCAATTCTCAAGGCCTTGTGCACTGGGCATCAAAAAGCTGTGATCCCTGAGAGACAACAAATCAGTGAGCCTGTGATTTTCCCTGCTTGTGCCTGGAGGCACAAAGTGGTAACCCAGGCAGAGCCAGTGATCTGTGTTCGTGGAAGAGGCAGAAGTGGGGATCTGGGGGCAACCTGACAGCCAGACTTGGCCCAGTCCTGGGGCACAGAATACTGTTCAGAGAGAAGCCTTTGGAGTTCTGTGGGCCCCAGGTCTTCAGTGAAAACTAATCAAGTATGTATATGGATAATTCCCTGAGGCCAGGAAAAGAGTCCTGAAAGGATAGTGACCCACAGTGCTCAGAGGCCCGCAGTGGTCTTGTTGCCCAAAGTGAAAAAATTATGAATGAAAAAAACCCTCATAATTGATAGATACACAGAAGAGGTATTTTATTGTTTTTAATTTTCCCCTCAATAGTGGGAAATCACTCCAAGACTAAAGTAGTTTAAAAGCAAGACCCCCAAAAGATTAAGCTGTACAAGTCATTTAACTGCACCCCAGACAAATCTTAGAAATACAAAGCACATAAAAGCTTCCAGGACCCAACGAGGTAAGATTCACAATGTCTGGCATCCAGTTGAAAATTGCCAGGCTGTCAAGGAAAGAGGTATCACAGTACCTATAATGAGAACTAAAACCAAACATAAATGTGGCCCTATAATAGTGCCTGAAGGTAGATTATAAGATCAGTGTATGTATGTGATCAAAAAAGAAGATAAAGTTATCAAAGAACAGTGACTTGAAACAAATAGAATGATGGTAGCTTTAAACCGACTACATCAATAATGTAAATGGTTGAAATACCCCCATTAAAAGGTGGTCGCATTAGATTTTTACACACAACCCTGTTCCCTTCTTAGAATCTGGACCTGAAATGCCCCCAAGGCTCACCAGTGGGAGGCTCAGTCCCATTGCCATGACGCTTGTGGGGTAGTGGCTACCTCAGTAGGTGGGGCCTCACTCAGGAGGCGGGGCCTATGGGCCTACCCTTGAAGGGGGCACGGAATCCTGACCCTTTCCTATTTTTCTCCCTGATTCTGCTGCCATGAGGTGAGAGCTATGTTCCTCCACGTGCTGCTGCTGTAATGAGCTGCTGCAGCGCAGACCCGAAAGCAACAAAAATGCACCCTTCCCTCCTTTAAGCTGACCTGCCTCAAGTATTTTGTCACAACCACAAAAAGTTGACTAACATACCCCTCTATTTGAAACTTAATTTTAATATAAAACTACATTAAAAGTAAAAGAATTTAAAAGATATACCACATTTATCTTCATTAAAGGAAGGCTGGAGTACTAGGGGCAATAAAAAATATGAATGTTTAAAATTTTTTAGATGTATTATGGAGGAAGATACACTGCCATTAATCTCCCTCAAAATACTCTCCCTCACTTTGGACACATGCATCCCATCACCCTTGCTATTCAGCAAGTCTTTCTTTGGTGTCTAGTTGTGCTGTTAGAGGTGTGCCAGTTCAGGGTTTACTTTTCATGACAGTTTGACTCTGGGGAAGAGCCAGTCCGGTAAGTCAGGTCCCTGAGGGCCCAGCGCGCTGCTCCCATGGGCCTGCCTTCCTGCTCGGCAGGGGCCTTCACTGTGATTCTTCTAACTCTACCTCACGAAGACGCTTGTGGAAGAGGACTTCCAGAACCACTTTAGAAGGGGGCAAAAGGATTCGCTAAGTGTGTCTCAAGCAAGAGGGTCTAACCCTGCCCAGAAGATAACTAATACATGTCTTAAAAATAAAAAATTACCAGAGTTAGTGAGGATATGGGGAAGATGGGAATGTGCTGTTTGTGGGGCTGTGAAATGCTACAGACACTTTGGAAAAGGTTATAGTGATTCCTCAAAAAACTAAAAATAGAATTACCACAAAATCCAGTGTTTCTATTTCTAGACTTTATGATCAAAATAATTGAAAATAAGCTCCCAAGGAGATGTTTGTACACCCATGTTCATGTCAGCATTTCCCACAATAACCAAACTGGAAACGAACCACACTCTCCTGAAGAGCAGGCAGCGAAACACAGGGCCTGCAGGGAGCGGCGCATCACTCAGCCTTGAGCAGAGGGAAGTCCCCACCCACGCTGCGGCACAGGAGAGCCTCGGGACATTGCGCTAGGGGGCAAGAAGCCAGGAAACCAAGCGCCACATTGTGGAACTCCACCTGTGTGGGGCGCTGAGAGTTACTACGATCCAAGGACAGAAAGTAGAACAGCGGTTGCCAGGGGCTGAGGGGAGGGGCGGCGAATCGTTTGAGGGGGTTGAGGTTTTCCGTACAGCAAAATGAAGAAAGTTCTGGAAATGGGCGGCAGGGATGGTGCACAGCACCTGGTGTCACTGACGGCCTGAAATGGTTAAGAACGGAAAATGTATATGATATGTACTTGTATTCTATCAAAATTTTTAAAATTGGAGGGAGAATTCTGATTAAAACCGACAAATTCAATCACTTTAGCAATTTAAAACCACAAAAATAGGCCACCACTGGACTTAAAAACCTACAAAACACAGAGGGAGGGCCGGGATTTAGCGCAGTGCTGCTGCACCTGCCTCACAAATGTGAGGTCTTGAGCTGGATCCCTGGTACCAGGTAAAAAAAAATCCACAGGTGGAGATTTCCACTTCAGTCTCTTCTATCACTGCCAAAACTCTCCATCCCAGTCACTTTCCTCGTTGCTACAAAAGAATCCCCAACACTCACAGCTTAAAAGAGGAGTTCACTGAGGCTCATATTTTGGTCTGTGAAAAGCAGCATACCAGAGGGGCATTGCAGAGAAAACCAGCTCAGGTCATGGTGAACAGGAAGCAGAGAAAGAAAAGAAGAACCAGGCCACGCCCCATGACCACCTGTCTAATCAGACTGCACCTCACATGAGCAACTTACTAGGGCACCCCTGCGATCCAATCACCTCCCGCACAAGGGCTCCCATCATGACTTATGAGCATTTACTGGTTAAATAAGCACTTTAGTATGAACTCGCCCCTCCATCCCCTCACTCCTGAAAGAAGGGAGAAACTGCACTTTAATCGTGATGGGAAACAGAGCAAGATAAGTTCAAAAGCATACTTTCCAAAGGAATGTCTATGGACGGGTCCCCAGCCCTGAAGAAGAGACCACCATGTGCTTTGAATACCATGTCATAAAGAAGTCAGAAGGAAGGCCCAGGGCACGATGCCAGCCTGTGGAGCTCCAGGGCTCTATGCTTCTATCCAAACTCTCCAACCCCTGCCTCCTTGGGCCCCATCACCCAGCAGCCTTCCCTGGACTCCTTCCATATTCCAGACTCACTCTTGCCACTGGCCTCCATGCCAGCTGCTTCCCAGACATCTGAATGGGTCCCTTTTCGCCTCACTAGGGCATCTAGTCCACTCTGTCAGAGAACCCACTCCAGCCACGCTCCCCTGCTGTCAAGCATCCCCACCTCTACCAGGTTCATTCCCTTACTTGCTTTATTTTTCTTCAGATATCTTTGCAGTTCCTGATGCCATTTTCTCCTCTTTGTTTATTGTCTGTCTTCCCATAAAATGAAAGCTTTACCATTGCTGGCAGTATCTGGCTCTTTACTGCCATCATACCAGTGCCTGGCTCCGAGTGGGTGTTCAGTAAATCTGTGCCGAATGCATGAATGAATGAGCAAGAGGACGGATGGATGAGCGAACACCTTCACTGACTGCCAAGGGGCTGGGGTGGGTGCAAAGAAAAAGGCCAAGCAGCGCTTTAGAGCCGGCCAACTCTCAGCCTAGTGCCAGGAAGCCCCATGAAGAGGCTCGGGAGCACACAGTGAGAAAGGTGCATCCTCAGCACCAAGCTGGACTGTGGCCCCACTGTGTGCTGCCCCAAAGTGCTCCCTGCCCGCACAGCCTGCCCTGCCTTGCTTCATCTCAGAAGGCTGGGTGCTTCAGAGCCCAAGCAAACCCAGGCAGGTATTGGATCCGTGATGCCAGAATACACACTGGAGCCTCAGGGTGCTTCCCAGTGAAGTCAAAGTTCATTAGCCATGTGCTATGCCCTCCCCTACCCACCACAGTCTGACCACCTCCTCCTCCAGTTCATGCTCAGCTCCTCCCTCCTCAAGTGCTACCCGGGCATCACTGCCTGGTACTGGGTGTCCTGAGTGCACAGAATGCCTCGGCCCTCGTGCCTGCTGCTCCTCT